CATTTTGAGATCTGATATATAGTCACTTTGCATGGTTATTTAATGATTAGTTTCAGCAGAATTCATGCTAAGAAATGTATAAGATCAGACTAAATGAGATTAAATATGAAATTCATGATTTCAGCAGTCAGTCTAGTCTGTAGTGTATTATCATACAATGAACTAGACTGGCTGTCAGAATTAGACTGATCACCAGAATCATGAATTTCATATTTGATTTCATTTAGTCTGGTTTCATACATTTCTTAGCGTGAATCCCGCTGGGACTGGCTATCAAAAAAACAGATAAAGTGACTATATATCAGATCTTAAAATGAAACCATGACTTGAAAAAAATGAGAAAGTGATCTCATTTGATCTCATTTAGTCTCATTCTTAGTATAAAGTTACTATTTTTAGACATTTTAAGGTTTTTTTTAGACTATTTTTAATTTTTTAAAAAGTAACACTTTTTGATAACACTCAAATGAGATTTAAAGTCATTTAAAGCAATAAAAATAATTTAAATTGAGAAGTGAAAATCATGATCTTATTTAAAAAATGTGATAAGAGTAGATAGTAAGTCTCACTGAGACAGTATGAAACTACTATTTAATATTAGAACTGTGTAATGAGATCTGTTGAATTAGTAATGAGACTATCAAAAAATCTGATCCTGGTCTCAGACATAGTCATACAGTCAGTTCAGTCAGAATTATAAATTTCATATTTAATTTCATTTGATCTGATCTTATACATTTCTTAATATGAATCCCACTGAGACTAATTATTAAATAAACATGCAAAGTGACTATATATCAGATCTCACAATGAAATCATAAGTTGAAAAAAATAAGAAAGTAATCTCATTTAATCTCATTTAGTCTCACTCTTAGCATAAAGTTACTATTTTTAGACATTTTAAGGTTTTTTTTAGACTATTTTTAATTTTTTAAAAAGTAACACTTTTTGATAACACTCAAATGAGATTTAAAGTCATTTAAAGCAATAAAAATAATTTAAATTGAGAAGTGAAAATCATGATCTTATTTAAAAAATGTGATAAGAGTAGATAGTAAGTCTCACTGAGACAGTATGAAACTACTATTTAATATTAGAACTGTGTAATGAGATCTGTTGAATTAGTAATGAGACTATCAAAAATTCTGGTCCTGATCTCAGACACGGTCACACGGTCAGTCTACAATGAACTATAGTCTCATTACTTATTAAAGTATGATATTCATCTGATTTCTTCATTACTTCTCATTCTTTTCTTATAATTATAAAAAGATTGAAATAAGTGAGATTATCTGATTCATAAGTATCAATGATTTCTCTTACTTTGTAAGACTTTTTAATTGTAAGCTTCTTCTTTTTCAACACTGATAATAGTGCTATAGATAATTATAATCTACTTAGATTTTACATCTTTACTTTTATAAGTCATGAATCATTTATTAAGTTATATAAGATTCATTTCTCTGATTTCTTCAATGTATATATTCTCAGAGAATGTGATTTGAGTATTTTTTATAACTCAAATCATCTAGATTGAAACTTCTCAGAACTCTCATTATATATAAGAATTTATATTCTTATCTTGAGACTTGATTTCTTAACTAGTGAGTCTTGTATTCTTTTCAATTGAATTGCTTGATTTAGAAGTAACTTGTTAGCTTTTATATATATGTGACTGATCTCTTTCAATCTTGATTCTGTGTCTGTGACTGCTATGTCTGTAACTGTTGTTTCTACTGTGTTTATAATCAATGTTCTCTCTCTCATCTTTTCTGAAGCATTCTTTAAAATGCACAGATGTAATTCATACAACAGATAGAATAATAAACACTTGAAGACTGCATACTGCTGAATTCACATAGTTAATAGTAGACTAGTCACTGAGACTATGAATTTCATATTTGATCTTATTTGATCTGATCTCATACATTTCTTAGCATGAATTCTGCTAGGACTGACTATTAAAAAAACATGTAAAGTGACTATATATCAGATCTTAAAATGAAATCATGACTTGAAAAAAATGAGAAAGTGATCTCATTTAATTTCATTTAGTCTTATTCTTGACATAAAGTTACTATTTTTAGACATTTTAAGGTTTTTTTTAGACTATTTTTAATTTTTTAAAAAGTAATGCTTTTTGATAACACTCAAATGAGATTTAAAGTCATTTAAAGCAATAAAAATAATTTAAATTGAGAAGTGAAAACCATGATCTCATTTGAAAAATGTGATAAGAGTAGATAGTAAGTCTCACTGAGACAGTATAAAACTACTATCTAATGTTAAAACTGTGTAATGAGATCAGTTGAATTGATAATAAGACTATTAAAAAATCTGGTTCTGATCTCAGACACAGTCACATAGTCAGTCTAATTATATGTAGTTAAAAGCTGCTAACTCTATTATAAACTGATTATATAACTGTGTTTAAGACTAGAATCAGAATATTTAATAGTCTTATTATTAATTTAACTAATCTTATTATACAGTTTTAATATTAAATAGTAGTCTTATACTGTTTTAATAAGACTTACTATCTACTTTTATTATATTTTTCAAATAAGATCATGATTTTCACTTCTTAATTTAAATTATTTTTATTACTTTAAATAACTTTAAATCTTATTAAGTATTATCAAAAAGCATTACTTTTTAAAAAATTAAAAATAGTCTAAAAAAACCTTAAAATATCTAAAAATAGTAACTTTATACTAAGAATGAGACTAAATAAAATTAAATGAGATCATTTTCTTATTTTTTCTAAGTTATAATCTCATTTTAAGATCTGATATATAGTCACTTTACATGTTTTTTTAATAATTAGTCTCAGTGAGATTCATGCTAAGAAATGTGTGAAACCAGATTAAATGAGATTAAATATGAAATTCATAGTCTCAGCAATCAGTCTACTTTATTAATTACATAAGAGATAAGAATAGAGGTAAAGAATCCGCGAGAAGCGGGATTTCTTACAAGACTATTTAGTGTAAGTCTTACTATAATTAACATGCATAAGTTCAATTCTAGAATGAACTTAATAAAAATCTTAAACAAATATCTTAAATATTTAAACAGTGCTAGAAGATATTCTAGAAGTGTGTTCTAGAAGTAAGCTCTTAAAAGAATGAGTTTTAGAAATAAGTTTAAAAAGAAAGATCACTGAGAGAAGTTACTAAGAGAAGTCACTGAGAGAAGTCACTGAGAGAAGTACTCTGTAATAGCTGATCTGAGAGAGAATGTTAATATTGAGAGTTCTGTGATTGATCAGCTCTTCTATCAGCAGGCGCTGATGATGATTAAGCTCTTTTATTCCAGTAGTCTACAGATTATAAGACTGTTAAGTGTGAGCTCTGCTGTGATCAACATGCATGAGTTTGATCTCAGAATGAACTTAAAAATTTCTAACAAATACTCTGAACATTTTAACAGTGTTAAGAGACATTTCAGAAGTGTGTTCTAGAAGTTCTGTGAGTTCTAGAACTGAGTGATTCAGTTCATTATTAAAAAGAAGCCATTGTGAGAAGATCACTGAAGAGAGTCACTGAGAGAAAGTACTGTACTCTGTGATAGCTGGTCTGAGAGAGAGTGTTGAGAGTCCCGCAGTTGGTCGGCCCTTCTACCAGCAGGCGCTGGTGATGACTGAGCTCTTTTGCCTTAGTAGTCTACACTAATACAATCACTGATTACATGGATCAGTGGTCACAGTGAGTGTTTGAGTGGAAGCAGTTAGCCCGCAAGAGAGGCAATTCAACACATGATGATTATTAAAATTCATCTTGTACTTGGCAACTAAGCAATAATAGGATTTTTGTATTTCTTGCATGCGTGTATACAGAAAACTTGACCTCGCTAAGTGCGCCACTTGACCTCGTTATGTAAGCTGACCTCGCAAATGTGGCCTGTGCCACTACCCAACCTCGCACAATACATCTTTTCTTGTAATTTGAAACCACTCAATTATTTACCATCAATTCTACAATCAATTCAAAATCAATTTAAAATCAATTTAAAACTGAAATTATTCTTGAATTTAATAATAAAGTAAGTATTTATATAATTTACACTGAATTGATTATTAATTGATTTTCAATCAATTGTTAATTACTTAAATATATAGATTGAATTTATTTTATTACTATAATTAATTAACAATTAATTCAGAATCAATTTAAAATCAATTTAAAATCAATTTAATACTGAAATTATTCTTGAATTTAATAAATAATACTGAATTGATTATCAACTGATTTTCAATCAATTATTAATTACTTAAATATATAGATTAAATCTATTTTTATTACTATAATCAATTCAGAATCAATTCAGAATCAATTTAAAATCAATTTAAAATTAATTATTAAATATTTTTATCTTAATATATTTTAAAATTCTGTAAAATATCTCTTTATATTCTATATGAATTTATCTATTTATTTAATTGATTATGAATCAGCTATACATGCTTTGATTGATTGATAAGCTGAGTGAATAAATGAATTGAAAGATTGAAAGTCAATTACCAACTGATTATTACTGTATTGTGCGAGGTTGGGGTCATGATTATGTAACGAGGTCAAGTGGCGCACTTAGCGAGGTCAAGTTTTCTGCTTCCTGCTTGGATGCAGTGGTTCATGCCAAGTTTCCATTGTCACACTCCTCAATCTCTCCTCTTTCACGCGTGGGATGGGCAGCTATATCAAAAACAACAGAATCTTAACAAGGCAAAAATATCCATTTTGGGGATAGTAAAATAGGCGGGTCAAACCATACCCAGCCCAGGTTGCCAGGTGGACAATCCTTTCTTCTCCTCCCCGTGCCGGGCGGGCATCCAAAATCCACATTAAAAAAAGCCAAACCACTCCAGCGGATCGGGGATCTTTTTGGTATCCCCGTTAGGGCTCTACAAGGTGTAGCGAGCGAGAGTCATGGATGTCATTGGACAAAGGATTCCGAGGGTGAATCGCGGTTTGGTGGTTTACCTACGAATATGTTCAGCAACCCGGGGATATAGTATATATAACTCACTTATAGATTTGTGTATATATTATGACGACTCTCAGGGTATCTATCGGGATAACCACCTCGGTAGCAAGTCAAACCCTGCAATGAAACGATTCCCAGAAAGAATCGCGGGCTGAGCTAAAACTCTACATCTCGCTTTGGGGTTGTTTTGTATTCTGCTTTGCATTGCAGTAGCAGCCCGGGATAAGTAGTTGGGGGGTTCGCTTGTTGTAGCTTCTGATAAGGCTTATATCCAGCAGTGGCAGTGATGGATGACGATGATATTATGATTATTATCAACAACTATTATACCTTCCCCCGTCAGGGCTATCGCCAGGCGGACCTCATTTCACGGAAGTACGAGGTGCCTACAACCAATATGCCCTTCCAGGATCATGCAGTGCGACCCATCCATGCCTTGCCTTACCATGCATGCGACGCCTTATCTGGTACTGTTTCTCCTATTTATCATTAACATTATTATATTCCCTCCTTCTCGGTACATTGAGACATATTATGAAGAAAAAGAATTGGCGGGCATGAGACGGAAGAGCAATGTTAAAGCCCATAACTCTCTTGGAATATATTCGGGAGAATATATGAGTTCCCACTTGGCGCTGATGATCAAGAAATCATGACAAGTCCTGGCTATCCAAGCGCTGGATTTCCCTGTTGGTCCCGGTGTGATGGTCCACCAATAGGGGTAACTTGCTGTTCTTCAAAGGGAAAAGCGTCCTCGTGGCCTGACTGGTCCAAGCTTGTGAAAGGGGCCGAGCAGGGGAGCTTCCATCTTGAGGCCTCAATACTGATTACCGATGCGCTTCACTGCCCAGACTGAGATCGACGGTGTCAGCTGTTATGCCGGCTTTTTTCGTGGGGATATTTTGGCATCATATAAATGCTCAAAATGACAGGGGGTGTTGTCTTCTGGGTGAGCAGTAAACTTGTGATAAGTTACTGTTATCAAGTTTGACAGCTCTGATGGTATGATAGTGTTAGAATTGGGGAGGATTGGGAATTTGCGTCAGTGAGGAGTTGGAGCGGGCAAAAAGCTAACTGGCATAGTCTGTACGGAGTATACAGCGGCAGAGATGGAAAACAGTATTAAATATCGACACTTACGGTCGTTCCCCTGCCTATAAATTATTTGACGTTAGCATCACAAAGCCGTCAATGACCATTGACTAGATTAAAAGTCCGCAAGGGCGCGAGACACCCATCAACATCGGTCGGCGAGGACTCGAGGCTATGGGCTAGGCGCCACAAAGGATGTCGTGTTGCTTCCGCCTCTTTCTGTTTGACAAGGTTCGAACTCTGATGCAAAAGTGGGCAAAACATTCCGCTAGATTTTCAGCTAGTGCATTTCCATGAGGGGGTTTTCTTTCCTGCCTGCGCCCTCTGTACGTCGAGGTTTCAGAATTTCCATAGCTCTAATAAAACATCAGTGCGGAACAAGTTAGTTAGCTCAAAATGTAGTCATCCTCCCGCCGCGTGGCACACGCCAAAAAAACTGATGATCCACCCTAGGCTTGACGCTTGATTCTTGAGGAGCTAAACGAGCCGCCATGGATGATGGCAGATGGACGGCTAGCGCTAGGTCCACTTGTAAGTTGGCTATTTAATAATATTTGCGCAAGCAACGTCTCCCAAGCCCGCTCAAGCTGTGGGAGGCCGGTCGACCGGCTTCGCAGGCCGTCTGCTCACTGGAATAATATTTATGTAGGTCACTTCTCAATCCTTCGACACGACATTGTCCTATCCTAGCAGTTAACGAAGGTCTACTAATTTTCTCGGAAGACAGGGACAAAAAGGTGAAGCAAGACACCAATGATGGAACGTTTTCTGTGTGGGTTATTTCAGCCGTCAGGCTCTCCATTCATAGTGGGGGCTTTGTCTTCCGCAGCCAGTTTCGCTTCCCACCACCAAGAGTTGAGGTTTTAGAAACTGTATGGGGTGACCGCGGCCGTGGTGAATTACCTAGGTATGCATTCCGTGCATCTTTCTGCGGCCAGTGTGAAACAAGTGGAAACGTGTCGAGGATCATGAAGTTAGCTCGACTTTCGGGAAGAATAGTCACATAATATATAAGACAACTTGAAACCAGAGATTTGGCAGCTTCGGGGGGTCTTTGAGGATCACTGCTTTGGCACCCAGGCTAAATGCATTTAAAAAACCGAACAGTTGGCGTGGGAGCTGTGAGTGGTGGATTCTGCTGTGAGGCACAAGAGCTTGAGAAAAAATCAAATAAAAACAAAAAATAGCAAAACCTTGGTCAGACATAAGTGCTCTCTCTCTGGTGGGTATTGCTGTTTACCTGAGAAGCAGCTCCTGAAAATACCGGGGTACATACATTGGGCAGTACATTCAGGGTCGATACACCCTCAAGGATTATTGCCATCCCCCTTCCGTTCGGGTATGTATCCCCATAGTTCTCGCCCAGCACAGGTCCAAAATGTGGCTGCACAGCTCATAACTCGATCTGGAAGTGCCATTATCGAATTCCAAATTACAACTACGTGTAAGAATAGAGTCCTTCTTGTTTGCGCAGGCCCAATGCTGACTTTCATGTCAGCATGCTGGTCGATGCTTGCGCAGGGGGTAGTTGATGGAGTGTGTACGCTGTACGGAGTACGGAGTACATAATAAATCAAGGCAGGGGCCAGGAGATCAGACGAGAATCAGCACGATCATCCTGCATGCCATCCATCTCAATCTAACACCGCTACCCAGGTTCAGAGTATTGGAAATTTGGCGAATCCAGACGGGGAGGGCTCGACGGAAAAGATATTATGATTCATTTTGCTTTGAATTTTATTTTTGTATCGTTCCTGAGTGTTGTCCAGATGTGGTGAAGGTAACATTCACACGAGGTCATCCGTAGGACGGATGACTTTTTAATGTTTGGGCGTGGTTACAATGCATTTATCGCCCACTTTGAAGCTCTTGCGATTGAAACTGTAACTATTTCTGTAATCACGGAGGTTCAGTTTGAAATAATGATGGCTAAAATATTACACGTCTGATCAGAGTTTCAAGTGGGGCTTGTGGCGGAATCGGGGAGTAGCTTCCAAGATTCCTTGCTGTAGACTCGTGGTATTTACTTTGGACCGTTTCCTGAAGAACGGAAACAGCTGGAGGATAGCTGCTTGTGCATCACGATGGGCTTGCTTGATGATCTCGGGCTGTTGGTGATATCGCACTGATCAATCAATCCATGAAGAAGATGCTGGTTCAAACTCGCCAATAGAAATTACCCCTGAATGCTGAACAGAAGAGCCCATTCATCATCGAATATAAGGTGTTCGGCGCGCATTCCTTTAGCGCAGCGGCAAAATTGAATCCGTCAATTCTAGGACGTCTTGGCCGGAGGAGAGTGGAAGTATACGCAGTAGTATGGGGTTGTGACTTCAGCCAGCCGCGCAACTCAACAGACCCGTTCGACTGGCGGTCATCGTGGGGCCCGGTGAAGATTTGAATACGTACGTACTAACCAAATTTAGCTAATAGATACTTGCAAATACAGAGCCTGTTCTTCATCATCCTGTGACTTATTTTCTCCCCGGGTACACCGTCTTCACGCACGCACTGAAGATATGGATCTTGAGACAAGGAGTTGCGTTCTTGAGGCGGGATAAAACTAGGGACCCAAGGGGTGGTGAAACCAAGCAGATCATGGATTTTTGGTTGGTCCAATTTGCCCCTATGCAGACGCGCGACACGAGTCGAGCTAACGCAGGAACATGACTTTGTAGATGCAGTGTACTCCGTACGCATCACTTGGACAGGCACTCATGGGAGTTCGTGAGAAAGTGGGCGGCTAGCAGGAACAAGGCTAGTGGTGCTTGAGAGGATGAAGATCTTCAACCTTTGGTGCCATCAGGCTGTCAATGGGGAATAGTACTGGGCACGGAGTACATGACTACCATTATTGGTGGCCTATCTATCCACCTTCACCGAATTCGTTGGGTTAGTTACTCTGTTGAGTTGGTCCCGGGGTCCCGAAAGCTACGGACTGAAGCCCCGAAGTGGTGGATCGGGGGCCGCGAAATATGAAGTGGTGGCGTTCCTCCGCCCGTGGCATGGGCCATCAGACGGAGTGATAATAATAATGGCAGCGTGGCCCCATAATAATCCTACACCAAAATGTAAATCGTTTGCGTATCCATGCGCTGTAAAAAGAGGAAAAGAAAGAAAAGGAATTACAGTCGTTGACGTCAACTACTACTCGGGTTGCCCGGCCCACACCCTCTATTCTCATTCATGGATAAACAAAATATAATTCGTCTGGCACGTGTGTCCCCAAAGCCGTGCACGGTATATTCAAGTTTTGAGCAACAGGAGAAAGGTGAGCAAAAAAAGGTCACATGGACGGACAGACGGTCATTTTGGCCGCACAATCATCGAGTCATCGAAGCCATTTTGGGCTCATGAACTGCCGTCATGATAGAAGCTAAAACAGAACTATTTTTTTCCCCCAAGAGACAGGGTGGTGGGTGAACGTGCCCTCCCCTTGTGAAAGAGGGCAACATCCGTCTCGAGATGGATTCTCCCTCGCCAGCCAATAGCATCCTCGAAGCGACGGATCCTGGGTGCAAGCATTCGACCAGGATAAATAAAGGCCGCACGCACAGGGGATAGTTCCGACAAGCCCTGCTACCACCCGCGATTTCAGTAGCTGGCATTTCGCGGCCGGGGGTCCCTGGTAGTGCCAGCTAGATATCGGAAGCAACTTACATATCTATGATGAAGCCATCAGACATGTCGTAAACGAGGAGCCTGTTCCTGGCGGGTCGCTCCGTGTGCCTGGATTATGATTGCCTGTACAGAGTAGTCCCTGGATGTCTGGACACGGAGCAAACGCGGAGCACAAAAATCCTTGGTATTCGGCAGTAGCTTGCCACTCGCAGCCTGTAACCTTGGAAATCCAGACGGGCTTACTTACAAGTTAGTTACCCACAGGGCCACAGCCTCCAAGCGCATGGAGCCCCATAGATCGACACGCTGGAGGCTTTTGTGCCTGTCTTGGAGGAGGTTGGCTGTATTACTATCTGCGTGGATGCTTATTATTTCGTGCTACGACCCGACCAGCTCCATACAGTACCGTACTGGGCCTGACAGAGAGCCGCAGTAGTACTTGTGCGTCGTGGTCAGTTGACATGGTTGGTACCCGAGGTATCTCCCCTGGTTGCACATAACCAGATGTAACTGAGGCGGGCTGCCCCAGTACCTGGTCCTGCTGGCGGATGTTCCTGGGTGTGGTACGGTCACATACGGCCCGTTTCCTCAGTACGGGTACCCTGCCGCAGCCAACTCGCCCCCCGGTACAGGACCAATACGGTGCCTGGCCCTGTACCTGTACCCGTACCGTACCGTACCGCCGTTCCCCTCCGCAGCCCGGTCTGACTTTTGGCGTCTGTCTTCTCTTCCTCATCTTCAAGACGACGACGACGACGACGACGACTTCTTTCTCTATCCCACACTCTCTCAACGACCTCTCTCAACACACAGTCTTCTTCTTTTCTTTCTTTCATTTTATATTTCTCTCTGTGCCTATCTGTCTATCCTTAATTCATTGCTCCGGCTTCATTACGGTCACTCTTTTACTGTTTTTAACCTTAGGCCCTCGCCTTGTCACTCCTTTCTGACCCGACGTCCCACATCCAACCCTTTGTCACTCCTTCGTAACAACGACATATTTCCTGTCCACCGCACCACTACCTTTCCTTCTTCACGGCATACCTCTGAAATACTACACACCTCCGATGAGATAGGCTTCCTTCCACGGCTGCCTGCAGTGCAGCAATCCCAACTCTCTGTCATCTGAGCTGCGGTCACATTCAACTCCTCCTTTCTATACCCACCTTTGAGCATAATGAGCTACCTTCATCACCCCTTTCCTTTTGGTGGACATGCAATCCCCGTTGACCAGCCCGTTGGCTATGGAGTCCCGATCCGGCACCCCCAATTGGGCCACTCCGTAGATACTTATCTACTCCCCAACGCCCCGATCGATCTGGCAGATTACTATCACCAAGCTGCATTACTGGAAGACTTCGAGCAATACACGGAGAATCTATCGCGCCCCCGGTTAACAAAACAACAAGTCGATACCCTCGAAGCCCAGTTTCAGGCCCATCCAAAGCCAAATAGCAACGTCAAGCGCCAATTAGCGGCGCAGACAAATCTCACTTTGCCCAGAGTTGCTGTACGGACATATAATCCTGCCCACATTCTTTTTCTGGGTCCTTTATCCGGCAATCGGAAGAAAGATTGCTAACTATGAACGTGTTGTAGAATTGGTTCCAAAACCGGCGCGCAAAGGCAAAGCAACAGAAGAGGCAGGAGGAATTCGAGAGAATGCAGGCGAGTGAGAAAGACGAACAGTGGCAAAATAACGACGCCCCGCAGAAAGAAGGAGAATCAAAGCAACAATCGGAGCTCCCGGAATCGTCCACAACCCCTACCCAGCGTCCCGCTTCTATTTCATCCTGTTCAAGTCCCTTGAGCCCGGCGAAGCAGGAGGAACAACAACAAGCATCCGATTTCACAACCAAAACCGGATGCCCTGAGTCGCCCCAGAAAGCCATGAACGTCTCTATGCCCTCTAGTGCCCAATTCAATCAGCCTGTGGAGAATAATGGCCCAGATAGACATGAGTCTTCGGCTATCACATATCATCTTTCTCAGTCTCCTTCGGGAAAGAACGGCGGTAGCACATTCACTTCTAGCCTATCTGGATGGAACGGAATGGAGGATAATCATGCCATATGGCCTTCCCCGCAAGGGGCCGAAGATAGTTTTGATTTCGGCCATTTGAATAGGCACCATGACAACCCACTCGAAATCCGCGTTCAGGGGAGCCCGCATTTCCCTAGTATCCAGTTCAGCCACGAGCCGGATGGATGGGGCTACCACAGCATGCCGCACTTGGTGGGAGAGCAACGGCATAATAGCCAAGATTCAGGCGACGGCTTTTACCAAATACCGTTCCATGCACTACAGTCTCCGCTGTATCCTGAAGAACCACGGCGGGATTCTTACTCCTCGGAACAGTCTGAGCTCGCAGATACACTATTCCACACTGAAATAAACAACGTGATTGAATTATCTCCTCAAAATACGCCCCATTTGAACTTGGCACAGTTGCACCACCAAGCCGAGCCCAGCACCAATTGGCGGTATCCTGAGAAAGAAGTTGATATTGCGGGTAGACGGAAGCGACCCCGGCCGGCTGCCATCGGAACTTCTTCCATGTCCCGTTCATACGGACCTTCGTCCATGTCTCCAACCACTAGGATTCACGGTATGGGTGCCGGCCATGTCCTTCGACATGCGAAATCTACCCAAAACCTGAGCCCTAGTCACACTTCTCGATACCCGGGGATTCGAAAAGCCTCCGCTCCCCAACGCTCCCCTCTAGGCATAACTAGCTTCGCAGAAGCCAGCCTTTTCAATTGCGCCAACGCGACAGACATGATGTCAACAGTGCCTGGTCTGGTAACAACAACCTTGGCTCCGCCAACTCCGTTGACACCAGAAGATCTCCGAACTCTTCTTCCACCAACCCCGAATGACAGCCAATACTGTGTCTCTCCAACGGACGATATGGGTTGCGCGCGATTTTTCCCCATATCCCAACCTATGCAAGTGCACATCGAATCCCCGCCCACGACACCACTGCATTTAGGGGTCCCATCACACTTGCAATATCAGTCCATGGGTGTTCCGATGTCTGCGTCGTCCCAGCGTACAACATTTCAGGAGTACGCGCTCTCTGTCCCAACCAATCCGATGAATGGTGGCCTCTGGTCCGATGTGTCTTCAATGCCATCCCCAGAGACTTCCCATTTACAACAGCCAACAATCCATATGCCCCAGCCAACGCATATTTCTCCAATTACCTATGAGGAGTCCTTCGATTCCGGAAATCCGGCTCTCGTTGAGGACACAGTGACAAGCCAAAGTGAATCACCCCAATGCACTGTGAAAAGCTGCGGCACGCCGACAACGTCATCGCCCCAAGGTTCCACCCCTGGCTCACAGAAAGTGACCGAATTTCTAATCCAGGAATTCCCAGAGCAGCAGGAAGCACACAGGCGGGCAGCCGAACAGCTGCCCCCTCAGAAGCCCATGAACTATACATTCTCCAACCACACGCCCAATGATTTCTAGAAAATTTATTTTCCCTTCTAGAATCCGGGGTTGGCTCTATTAATACTTAATCACCCTCAAACCAACCAACTCTAGTTTAGCAGCCCGTTTACGATTTCTACTAATAAACCTCACGCAAATATATAATTGTAATATCCTTTGCTCTCTTCCCTCTTGGCTTGAGCTTAATCTAATTATCCCACCATCACTCGCTGCGGCCTTTTGTTTTCATCTTGCAATACCCAACCTTACTTGTTGGAAACGTCACGCAACTTTACATTACTACACCACTGCTATTATTACTTCTAATGCTACTAGGGGAGAACCTTAACCCAGCTCCCCCGTGCCCTGTTTGTCATGCTTTTCCTTAGTCCATTACTCATCTACATATATTCTATCATACCCATTTCGCAATCTCTGTCTCTGTCTCTGTCTCTCTCCCTCTCTCCCTTTTCCTTTTGTTGCTGCGGAGCAACTCTTCGGTTTGTATATGACACGCAGAAATGGAAATTTTGGCGGTACCCCCCTGGCTTCTATCGTTTCATTTCATTTCACTTTCATCCTTTTTTTTTTTCTTTTCTTTGTCCTCACACGAAAACACCATATCTGATAATAGCTATTATTATGTTCTAATCAACTAATTCCCTACTTTCTTCTCCTTCTACGCAGGCGCTTCACATTCTCATTTCTTCCTGCCTCTGAAACCTTGACTTTTCCCCCTTTTACCATTGTTAGTTTATTGTCTCCTCTCTTACTATTTTTTAATAATACCCCTTGAATACGTTTTTTTTTAATATAGCTTAGCATGTTACTTTCTCAGTTCTTTCACTACTACTTCTTCTAACAATGCTGTTTTCTTTCCCCCGTTTTTTTTTATTGTTTTCATTCTTATTCTTATGCGTTGGTTTTTGTCTGCTTCAGTTATATTTTTTTTCAAATTTTCTTTCTGATAGCTTTCTGCTTTTCTTTTCTTTCTTTCTTTCTTTTTTTTTTTCATCTTCTTACTTCTACTCTATGATAAACGTCTACAATATCTATCTATCTTCCTACTGCTTCTCTACAACCAGCGTATACGCCCGGAATATAATATTGCTGTTTAATTCTTCATATCTATACACCTTTATAATACAGCATTACTCAATTCTATTAATATAAATAGCATATGTCACTTACTACCGGGCACATTGTATATAATAGAAATAAAATATTATTTTATTCTTTGCTTCTTCTGGCAACATTTTGATAGAGTAAAAGGTTCAGTTCAAACTCAGTTCAGTGATTCAATCAATAAATGCATCAAGCTAGCTGAAACACATTTTTGTTTTATTGAAGAGTAAAAAGAGAAGGGAAAAAAGCCATCATCAAAAACACAAAAAAAAACTAGAATGAATGAATACATGAAAAGTTAAAGCACAGACATGAGAAAAGAAAACCATAAATGTAAGACAAAAACTAGATACAATTAATACAAATTATATCATGAAAAAATTCCAGATGACAGAACAGAACATAGCTATATAAAGAAGAATGAATTAAAATATAATTAACACAAGAGTAAAAATGTATATAGTAGAAGAAAAAGAAGAGAAAGGAGAAGAGAAAAGAACTTAAGTAATAACACTAATACTAAGTTAAAAAGTAATAAGATAAAGTAGGTTGCAGGAACAGAATGTGATAATGAGTGGAAAAGAGTAAGCAGTAAATAAAAATGTAATAAAGAAGAAATGACTTTGACAATGATGAGACAAGAAGTAACAGACAAACCTTGTACATTTTGCTATAGGCAATGAAGAAGAAAGAAAACAGAGGTGGGGAAAAGAGGGAGAAAAAGGGGGAGGATGTGTGCGTGACTCAAAAGAAAAGTAGAAAAAGAGACAAAGAAGAAAGGAAAAGCTTTACCAAATTGAGAGATGAATGAATTGATGGAAATGAATACATGATGAGAAAAGTGAAGATGAATATGTTTTTTCAAGGGGGAAACAAGAGAAAAGAGAAATGAAGATATGATGAGTGAAAAGAACCAACAGTATAAGTAGCAATGAAGAAAGGAAATGTTGAATAGATACATAGAAACAATTGTAGAAGAGAAGTGAGAAGCAGTGTCAACAGTTGTGTATAAAGAAAAAGAATAGGTTAGTGATTACATCTATATGTTCAGGAACAAATTATTGCATTAGAGGTATCAATTTTTAAAACCCAGACTCGAAAAGGGAAAAAGCGAGTTTCAAATAAATAAAACAGGGAGAATATGGAGTCATAAAAATAAATAAAACAAAACAGCCATCAACGAAAGAGTCAAGATGGGGAAGAAAAAGGAAAGAAAAGCAAAAACCAGGTATGAGTAGTGAAGTGAACAAATTATAGTGAGAAACAAATGCAAGTTCCGGCAAGCTATCGTTTCTTTTTGAGTTTCACATAAAAACAAATTTCCTACCCAATCCATCACTTCACAGCTTCTTCAAAATGACGATGGCCAGCCACCAGGTCCTGAGCCCGGCTGTGGCTGTCCACCAGGTTGCATCGACCCTCCAGCCGTGGTGCTAGGCCACCCCGGCATGGAAGCACTGGTACCCATGCCCATACCCATTGCTGATTGCGGTCCGGACATATACTGCTGCGAGCCGGCAGGGCCTTGGGAGGATGGGTACATGGCGCGCGTGGCTGCCATGTTAGAGTATGCAGCTGCTGAGACACCCGGGTAACCCATAGCGGCAAGATTCTGTTGTTGCTGATGCTGCTGCTGCTGATGCTGCTGATGCTGCTGTTGTTGTTGCTGTTGTTGCTGCTGCTGCTGTTGGGATGGTGTCTGTGCGTGAAGCTGAGAAGGTGGAGCACGGTGTTGGTGGCGCGGAGACTGGGAATGGCGGAGTGGTTGCGTGTTGTGTAGATGCGGCGAAGGGGATTGCTGTTGTTGCGGGTGCATCTGTGGAGCGTATTGTGACACTCCAATCGAGTGGGACGCGGACAGGGGGGATGGCTGTGGTTGCGGAGGTGGCTGACCCCAAAGTTGTGGATTTTGAGGGTAAGGATACTGCGAGGTTTGACTTGAGCCGGGAGAAGCAAGGGAGATGCTAGATGAGCGATGCTGAGGCTGATCAGGGCGCATTCCCTGCGGCATTCCTCGCAGCGGAGATTGGGGTATGGACATTTGTTGATGGGAAGGCTGAGAATAGGATTGTTGAGGGGTCATCATTTGCGTATGCGGCAAAACGGTTGGGTGTTGGTTGGCATTAATCATACCAGATGTCAGTTGTGGCGATTGGAGCGACTGATGGCCCCCTGGGGGGTGCTCGACTTGACCAGCTGGCGATTGACTGGACAGAGGGGTATCGCGCTTCTTATTCCAGTGTTCGTCAAGTCCTTTCGCACGATATCCACGTTGCTGATTTAAAATCTTGCTAAAGTCGGCAGTATGAGATGCATGGTTCATTATTTCTGCACCACTGCTAGGTTGGGTACGGTCGTGGAATGGTTGCCCTGTGGGTTCCTGTCTCGGTCGAGGTATGGAGTTGAACTCTCTCAGTCGAGGATCATCTGCTGGGGCCAAATGAATCATGGGCAGAGGCGTTAGACTCGCTGGATGCGGAGGCATGTCGGGTGGGATGCCGTCAATATGAGGGCCGTTGCTATATATAATATCGCTCTGGCCCAAATTTGGTATCAGTCCCGCATTTGCGGCCTCTGCAGCGGCCGCATCTCTGGCCTTCGCAGCCCCTGGTCGTTTCTCGCCGGCCAGATCCTCTTCAGTAAAACCTTGCTTTCGGGCCTTGCTCTCCCAATAATCATCTCGAACCCGCCGTCCCTCAAGAATGACTCTGCTGCCGAATTGACGGAACATAGATTTCGCTGTCACAATCGCGATCTGTCGAGAACGATACGAGTACGGCAAAATGTCCTGCTGAATCAAGGAATCCTTCTCTGCTTGGCTTGCAATAATTTTATAGAGTGATCTATTCTTGTTGAAGAGAAGATAAGAATCTCGATATCCCAGCACTCTAGCGCATTCCGTGGCCAGCATGAAGAGTTTCTTTCCGCGGTTCGGCACACAGAAGGTCCTGCATTTATACTTGCGTTTGTCCTGTGGGTAACCCAGCGCGTCGACTTTCTTTTCACCATTCTCGTCGAATTCTTTGGGTATATATTCATCTCCTTCTTCCCCCAACTGGTCCGTGGTATGGTCTCTAACGGTAGGTAGGGCCTTGACTAGTGACTTGGTGAGTGTGGTTTTAGCTGGCGTAGACGTCTGTGCGGTGGCCGTGGCATGTTGTGGGATAGGCTGAGGAGGGAGATGAGAAATCTGTGTCTGAGCGGGGGACGATTTTGGCCTTTGCGATGCAGGTGTAGCAGCCGGGTTTGTGGCGGACGAGACTTTGGGCGTCTTGGGCGGTCGACCTCTTTTGCGACGGCCATGATCATCCGGGACTATACAAGTTAGGTACGGTAAACCGGCAAAATAGCAAAGGCAGGATGATAGAAATATCAAAATGGCAGCAACATACCTTCCTCTATTTCACCTTCCGCAGGCTGATCGCCATACTGTTCTGTTGGTCTACTTCGTTTCGTGCCTCTTGGGCTTGCGCTGGAGTTGACATTGGAGGTGGTAGTCGCGGAAGGCGCGGCAAGAGAAGACTGCGAAACAGGGACTGATAATGAAAAAGTCAGCATCAAGCTAGGAATATTCTTGCGATCGTGCGGTGATTCATGGTATCAAAGGAGATCGAAGATAGAAATGGAAATCTTGGCCCCTAGAAAAAGACAATATCTCCCCCCACAACGCGACCGAAGACAGGAAAAGGAACCGGGGGGGGTGAAAGAGAATGAAAAAGCGCGACCAAGAGAAGGAATTATTACCAGGAGTGTTCAAAGCAGCAGGGTTGATAGTGCCAGAACCATCAATCAGATCGGAACCCATGCCGTTCATCGGGGCGGAAACGGGATGTTGAGTAGTATACATGGTGTGCCACACAGGGAGGGGAGGTGGAGCGGGTCAAGGATCGACGGGTACAAAGTGAACCGGGTAGTTAACCGAAAAGCGCGCGAACGATACCGGTTGGACCAGACAGCCGCGACGGCGGGGGTTCTGAGTGGTGGAGAAGAGAGAGTGTGGGAGGAAACGACGAATGAAGTGAAGGGGGCGGGACGGGGACGAGGGAGGAGGGACTGGGTGGGGTGGGTCGCGTCCAAGGGGACGGATGTGTAAGCAGGAAGCCGCGGGTGGTTGGACCACCAGTGAAAAAATCTAGTGAGGGCGTTGGAATGAGACCAGTCCGAGGATGAAGCTTTCCGATGGCTAGTGATGTGTTGCGACGCACACGATGCGATGCAAGGTGAAGAAGATCCTTTTTGCTCAACGGTGCGATGGGGTCGCAGAGGGAGCTGCACCTGAGCTGCGCGGCGCCCAAAGGCAGCAAGCAGTAACTAGTGGGAACAGCAGCAGTTGGTGAACTCAAACGGCCGACTTAGCGGGCGCGATATCGCCGTTAGCAGCCGGCAAGCGAGGACAGGCACGGAGGAGAAGGACGAGGAGGAGACGACATGTGCGGGAGATGGTGATGGGTGGGCGGATGGGTGGATGGGAAGGATGATGGAGGCGACGGGCGAGGATGGGGATGGATGGGGATGGGGATGGGGATGGGGATGGATGCGAAGGTGAGGTTGCAAAAAGGCGACGGACGAGGGAGAAAACCCGATGACGATAGAAAAGCAGCCACACAGACAAGCGTAAGTGTGTATACAACAGTACGGAGTAAGGATGTACGGGAAGGAACAGGCGAGGTAAGCGGATGACAAGACCAGGGAACTTTGGCGGGCGTCGGCGGCGTTCGTCGGGGTATGGGATCGGTACAGGTACGGTCAGCGTAAGGTACGGGCGTGATACGGTACGGACAGGTACGGGCAGGTACGGTATGCTGGGCTTAGTCAGCCGACTGATTTGCGGCTCTGCTGGGGCAAGACGGAAGCTGAGTCAGCGCCGGAAGCCCTAACTCACTCCGGCGGAGTTAGGAAGGGAGAGGGAGAGAGGTTGTAGATTTTGCAGAGAGGATGAGGGACAAAGGACGACGAAGTATGGCAGGGGGATGAGATATAGGGATGAAAAAAAAGGTATATATATATATATATATGTAGAAGTATATATGTAGCAAGAAGTAGGAAGAGTATGGTGGGCGGGTCAGGCTGGCATCCTTCTTTCGTTTTCTTCGCTGGCTTCTTTCGTCCTTCTTTTTTCTTAGTTACGTATATTAATATCAAATATCTTCCGCTTCCCGTTTGCGTCTTAGTGCTTGATTTGTATCTTTCTCTCTCCTTTCCTTACGTACGCTGGGCGGGGGATTTATTTTCTTGTTAATTATTATCTTGGCCCTTCCACATCAGCTGGGAAGGAATAGTAATATTGGGGGGGAGGGGGGGTCCCGCCTTCTTGCATCAGCAAAAAGCGGATACCAAGTTGCAGTACGAGATAACTCCGGACAAGTTAAAAAACAAATTCCAAGAGGGGGAGGGTTGCAGCTCTCGGGGCCGGCAGAACAATCCTAATCGAGTAGGGCGGGGCCGGCGGGGAAAAAAAGGGAGCAACGATTGGAAACAAGGAAATAGACTCGCCAACTTAGCCGTTGATAGGCTAGGAAGCGGTGAGAGGACACACACAGAGAGAGGGAGAGCGAGCGATGGAGGGGAGGGGAGGGGAGGGGAGGGGAGGGGAGGGGAGGAAGGGAGGAAGGGAGGAACGGGAGTTGGGTATGGCCTGTATGGATGGGGGAATCGAATGGGAAAGGGAGGGCGGCCCTGCGAGTGGAAATCGAAAATCTGGGGAAGGGGGATAGATAGATAGGATAGGCAAGGCGACGGTTATTGGACTGGACAAGGCTGCGGCTGGGGCCAAAGGTCGGGTCACTGGGTCCTTGGATTGGTATGTATTATTATTATCTATTCCAAGAAACAAAAACAAAAAACAAAAAACAAAAAAGTAAAGAGGAAAATACGCTGTAATGCGAGGGAAGACAGGAGCTGAGGGAAGCAAGCAGGTGAGTGGGGGGGGGGATTATTTTAGGCAAAGTC